ACTAATTAGTAATTAGGTGCTGTTATGCAACAAATAATGAGGAATTTTTTCCCGCCTGGAGAGTTTTAAGATTATTTTGTTGATTACTATATTAAACATAGAGGATTTAGAGGGTTAATTTTGTTGGGGCGACGACAGTCTCACTTACCTAGGAAATTAATTATTTTTTGTATCGGTTGTGTTTTTTGAGAGCTATCGTGTTACTACTGCCAGAACTTAGAGCTCAAGGGCTGTAATTTTAAACAAGGGAATAAATAAATGAATCAGCGGACTCTGAATGGTGGTGGGGGTGGTTTATTCATTTTGTCAGATGCGTTTTAGACTTCGGTCAAGGTTTAAGTTTTTACTGATTCAAGGGACTAATTTTAAACTAACGAAGACCTAACATTGCAGTAATAAGTTTTATTTTTTTGATCATACGGTACTTTTGCAATCATTGTATTTTCGTCAAGTATAAAGTTAACATTTTTTTTTCGGTCAAAACAGTGTTTTTTATTTGCTTCGATATCTTTAAAATAGGAGTTATTGGTCATAAACTAATTAATATGATGTTATCACGAGATTTAGCTTAGATTTATATAAATCAACAACTAAAATTTTATTTAGAATTTTTCGATAAAATGAACGTTAACTAAAGGAGGAACAAGCGAAATTTATCGATAGTGTATATCTAGAGAAAAAGCTTGCACATTTATTTACAAAACAATCTTTTGAAACTGTCGAACCAGAAGAACTTTTGAAGCTAATAAAACCTTGTGCGATGTTCTGAAAAGCTAAAGGACGAAACTTAATCCGAAATGCAAAGGACGGAGAATATTTCAGAGACGAGGGTCAAAAAGTTGAATTCTCTGAACTATCATTTCTTTTTTATATACTATGATTGTAACTAAATTAAAATTCAACTCGAAGAATGTGTATGTCAGAGAATTTGCGGGTAAAAAACTAATTTCTGTCAAGTTTTTCATTTACTTTTGACTTTCGAAAATATTTCTGCAACAAGTATCGTAACGTTTAATAGCAAAATTGATTTCAGTGCTTGATCTAAATCTAAATTAAACTATTACCTATAAACTCGATGTAAATCACATAACATTAATTAGAACTCCGCCCTTAGCAGTTAACTCTCCTGCTAGGAGCGCATTTAGCGATCTTTCACCCTCTGTCGGGAGTTTTCACAACTATTTATTCATTGATGCTCATAAATTCATGAATACTCATTAAATATTGTTCAAAAGTATCCAGTGCAAATTTATAGAAACAAAAAAAGAATTAATATTCAAAACGTTGCTGAAAATAGATTCGTTAGTCATAAGTTTTTTAAAACTTGTAATTTTATTCAACAATTGGCACTATACTGATGGACATCAAAAAATTAACAAATATTTCAATAAGTTGCATAAATTATAAAGTTAATTTATTTTATTACAATGAAATATTAATCATAAATGACAGAAAACGAATTTTTCAATCAATTTTTTAATAATTAATGTTATAGACTTGATAATTAATGATTGTAGGAACGAATTTAATAGGTTATCTCAGTCCTGCTTAAAATAGTAATTAACCGAGTAAAAAAATAACCGAGCTTAAAGTACTTAAAATGCAAAGCGTCGTTAAAAAAGTTAAAAGATACAGTTGAAAGAACTCATGAATGCCGTTATCGTCAAAAAAATAAAAAATAAAACCGCCAATAAAATACAATTGTTCTACAGTCTTAGTTTCCCATTATTGAAATACTTTATTTTTGTTTATTGTTCCACTCAGATCCATTATTTTTCTCTCAAAACAAGAAAGCTGTAACTGAGACACTGAAAAATGTTTTTATCTCTGAAATTAATTGCTGAAAATTTATATTTTTTGAAAACCCAGCAATCCTGAATAAGAACAGAGGAAATATTTCCTTTTATCGTTTCCGTATTTTTTAGTCTGAAGTTATAACGATTTCCTGTAAAATCACATGTCTGTATAAAACGTGACAATGTCGAATCGTTTTTCACCAGCAATATTCTTCCGGGTGTGACACTCGCGGCTGCTGTGAGAGTCAGGTGTCGAAAATGGAGCTCAGTTAGAGCGGGGAGGAAGGGTTGGATCGAGTCTACATTCTGAAGCACCGCTCCGGAGAAATTGAGGATGTTTCACACACGATCGAGTGCGATATCCACTTGGCTGACAAGTTCGCGTTAATGGAACTTTCGTGTTAGCTATCGCTAATCCAACTGTCATTTTTCCGCCTTCAAACAACATATACGAATAACATTGTGTAATGATTGCCCGCGAGTCATAAGTCGCGAATTCGCGAATTGAGTTTGTGATAAAAGTAAATCCAAAAATTTACAGTAGGTTTTAATTGTTTACTTTTGAAGAGTACACGGAAAAAAGTAAACTGTAATAAATAACAGTCGATTTATAATAAGTAATGATCGGAAAATGTTAGAGGATATTCAAAATCATGACACGATGGTTGAGAATTAGGATGAACAAGAAAATGATGAACAATTTGTAATACCAACGTCAGGGAAGCACTAATTGCTATTACTGTTTTACAAAAATTTGTGCTTGACGAAGAAGAATTAAGTTTAAGCAATAACAATGAAATATTGCATAAAATGTATTAGCAAATTCAAAATTACTGCGTATAGTTTCAGTGCATTAAACAAACTAAAATGATGGATTTCTTAAAGTAATTTTTGTATAAATATTCATAATAAGTATTAGTTGACATCATTAACTATGCAATTTTAGTTTAATAAATAGTTGTAATGTATTTTTGAATGCAATGAGAACGTTTTTAATTATTAATAATAAATATTGGTCATAACGACTATCGGCTATAACGACCATAATTCATCGGTCCCTTCAATGACGTTATAAACGGTTTTCACTGTATATACATATATATAATATATATAAATATATATGAAAAATTGATGTGGGTATTCGAATGAAAGGTCTCGATGAGTATAATGTCAAGGTGAGTTTATATCTTTAAAAATATAGAAAGTTCCGAAGATACAGTCGTTTCTTAATTATGCTAAATTGTACTGTACTTTCTTAAATATTGACTTTTTTAAAAAAATAAGCTCATCCTGATATTACACTCATCAAGACCTTTCATTTGAGTACCCACATGCGTTTTGATATATTTTTCATATATACATATATATAATATATACAAATATATGAAAAATTGATGTGGGTACTCAAATGAAAGGTCTTGAAGAATGTAATGTCAAGGTGAGTTTATATTTTTAATAATCTCAATAATTCACAAGATACAAGGTCATTTCTTAATTATGTATCTAAAGATACATAATTATTTTGTCCAAAAAAATTACAAAAGAAGTCTTAGTTAAAATAAAAAAAATTTTTTTTCTTCTTACAGTTCACGGATAATTACATTTAATTATATTGTTTAATATTGTTGGCAGGAATAAACTTTTTGGGTTCTTATTTTGCTCCGCTATTCCATTTTATCCCTCTACTTTTTTTTCTTTTATGTACAATTGGCAAATTAATTTCAAATTTCAAGTTTTATATGATACACAAAATTTCCATTTCTAAAATCGTAAATTCGACATTTAGAATTCGACAGTGAAGCAGCAAATTCAATAATTTCTCCTTAACTGTAAAATTGACACGACTTTATGATTTATGACGTTATATATGAAATGAAGTAATACCGTGAATTGAAAAATGTATTTTTAGGCAAATAAATCATTAAAAGCGATCAGAAGGATGTTTTTATTTTAGCAATGTCGTGTTCAGGTATTGTAGGTCATTTATGCTGTAGGGAAAAATCGATGTAGAGGGTTTCGAAGTTAAAGGTGGGGCGGTATCTCTCTATTACTCTATTGAGAATATAATATCAAAACGAGAGCGATAATCTGAGAAGTGTAAATATTATTTTATCTTTTTTTTATCATTTCCCTCTTTTATTACGCTTATAAAAAACATTATCAGAAAATTAGTTAGAATTTTACTGAAAAATATAAACAATTATAATTTAATTAAAAAAAAAATTTTTTAAGCCAAAAAATTATTTTTAATTAAAATTCTTTGTCTAATTTTTCTTGATTCAAAATTTTTTTCCAATTTTTTATTTATTTTTCTTGTAATTCAATTCTAAGAAAATAATAAAATTTATATGATTATTTAATTATAAACTTTTTATTTAAAAAATTATTCTATAAATTTTTTTGTCAAAAATATTTAATAATTTTTGAATAAATTTTTTTTTTAGATTAATTATTAAAAATTATTTTAATAATTAATTAAATTTATTTAGAATTATTAAAAAAAAAAAAAATTATATTGACCTTGACTGCGCCTCACGTGTGATAATACACTCTTTGCTCGTGTTGCGAATACACAGCAATTTTTTTTTTTTTTTTTTAAAAAATCATAACAATATTAAATATTTTTAACTTGTAATTTTTTAAAATTACAAAATTTTTTTTTATCAAAAAAAAAAAAAAATTAATTTCTATAAATAAAAAGGTCAAAGTGAACTCACCTGTAAAAATAATCAGTCAAAGTCTCGAAAATCAGTCAAGTCAATTAATGTGACTTAAAAAGACACCATATTAATAACTCTTAAAGTGAACATTTATAAATAAAAATAAGTTATCGAATACCTATATATATATATAATATATAATACGTAGCAGGTACATTTAAAACATGTGTATTGGCATGATAATTTACAAATAAAAAAAAGATTGCGTATCGCGACGACGGCGGCGAGGTTTGATAAGAATTCTGATACGCCGCATTTGATTTGAAGCACGTTTAATCATCGTAACTAGTCATCTGCTTGCTTTATTTATTATTCAGACGACATTTTTACACTCCGATCCGGTTATATGTTTATAGTTATCTCTGTGTCCAGATTTGTGATTATATCCATGTGTTAAGAGAGATATAGTTACTACAAGTGATAATTATTTTACGATAATTGGTGCAGTTATTAACGAAAAGTATTTTTCAAATATTGCGGTCACTTAAAAAACAATCGGCAATGTCGCTCGTAATCCTGCACCGCCTTCACTATTCGATTTAATAGAGACGCATGCGCTCCCCTTGACACCTGATCGGCGCTTGCGTTAAATTATTTATTTATAATTGGATTTTTTAAGTCTATTTACATATTTTTTATTTTTACATGGTGAAAAAATTCAGATATAAAAAAGGGAAATTTTTATAAGTGTAAAAATTTATATTTATCATAAGTGTATTTTAATTAAAAAAAAAAACATGATTTATAAGAATTTATGTATAGAATTAAAATTATTAATTTTGTTATGAGAATTTAGAAAAATTATTTAGTTTAAAAAGAAAAATTTTCAGTTGTACTTTAAAAGTTACTAATTTATTTGTAAAAAATATCAATAATTTATGATTATTTTGTTTTTTTTTTTAGCATAGAAAAATTTGTTTTACAAATTGAAAAAAAAAAAATTGTTTATAAATAATCGACTTTTTTAAAATCTATATTAAGGGAATAAGGAAAATTTTGTTTTTAATATAGTCATAAGATAAAATTGGTTTTTCTAAATGAAATTTAGTGTCACAGCAAAGGTCAAAATTTGAATTTGTGCCTTCTAAGGTTTTATTTAATTCTCACCGATAGTCAATTTATTATGATAATTACACTGTAAACCCAAGTGTTTTAAAAGTGACTACAAATGGGCATTTAACATAAGAAATTAAAACACGAGGAAGTGTTTTAAAAGTGACTACAATGTTTCAAGATAGAAACAAAACACTTTGTGTGTGTTTTGTTAAAACACTTGGATTTACAATGAAGTATTTAAGCTGCATTCAAAAATGCTCTATCTCTAGATATATAATTAATGACCCTGTATCTTGTGAACTATTGACATTTTTAAAGATCTAAGCTCATCTCGATGTTGCACTCATCGAGACCTTTCATTTGAGTACCCACATCAATTTTTCATATATTTTATAAATTTATATATATTATATATATGTATATATATGACATATACATTAAAATGCATGTGGCTACTCAAATGAAAGCTCTTGATAAGTGTAATGTCAGGATGAGCTTATAACTTAAAAAATATCAATAAATAAAAAATGACCTTGTATTTTGTAAACTATTGACATTTTTGAAGATATAAGCTCATATTGATGTTACTCTCATCGAGACCTTTCATTTGAGTACACACATCAATTTTTCATATATTTTATATATTTATATATATATATATATGTATATATATGAAAAATATATCAAAATGCATGTGGGTACTCAAATGAAAGCTCTTGATGAGCGTAACATCAGAATGAGCTTATATCTTCAAAATTGTCAATAATTGAGTACTGACATTGCTATCTTGTCAACTATTGACATTTTTAAAGATATAAGCTCATCCCGATGTTACATTTATCGAGACCTTTCATTTGAGTACCCATATCGATTTTTCATATATTTATATATATGTATATATGAAAAATATATCAAAATGCATGTGGGTACTCAAATGAAAGCTCTTGATGAGTGTAACATCGAGATGAGCGTATATCTTGAAAAACGTCAATAGTTAAGAAAGTCATTAATTTAATAAAGCAAAATTTTATTTATTTATATTTCACAAGTTATGGCATTCACATAGTGACTGCAAGTTTGTTAATATATAATACTAATTTTATTTTATAATTTATTAAATATTTCACAAACTAAGAAATAAATATTTAGAATAATTTAGTTTTATTTTGTATGGAAAAAATTGCTATGTTACACCGTAGAATTTATAATATTACATGGAAAAAATTTATTAAATATCTTATCTATAAACAATTATAAAACTAATAATTATTAATTTTTTGCTTACATGGAAATAATTTTTGTACCACATTTAAAAATTTCAAAGTCACATTTTTCTTGTACTTTTTACATCCACAAAAATTTGCCCAAAATTTATTTCACCAATATTGAATCAATAAGGATCAGTAATGATGATATTTTTGTTCAAACCTCCTTCCATCATTTTCTCCAAATTAATTTCAATTTCCTGCAAAGAAAAAACAAAAATGACTCCCTAGATACCTAAAATTAATTAAACTAAATTACCTCATTGCGTTGGGATCTCAAGTGATCAATAACGGCTTCATTAAAATTAGTATCATCAATTGGATTGTCGTTAATTGAGTCCTGCTCCTCGTTCAACAACTTCAATTGATTGCTGTTGTTATCATGAACATTAGGACAGCTCAAAAATATCTTTTTGATCTTATCGACAACAATCGCCGAGTTAGCAATGGAGTCATCGTCCGCCACAGTGCCTGATGGTATCAACAAGGGGCTGTTGTAATCTGTGATGCACTCTTTACTGAAAAACTCCAAAATTCTTTATCGGATACGAGTAATTGGAAAAGCTTGTACTTTTTTGTGAGCTTACGATCTTTGGTGATTGAATCCGTAGTAGGACATTAGTTCTTTCATTCTTTTTATCAAAGTACCTTCTTTTGAAGAGTAATATTGCAAATCGGCGCCTAAATTGTATGCAATACCTCTCAGAGTTTTTCCTATGCTCTGTTTGGTAACCGTGTCTAATTTCTGGGGTGAAAATTTGTTTTAAAAGAATTTTTATAAATTTAATTGATATTTTTTAATATTTAAAAAATTTCAGGTCTTTTTTTTCAAAATTTTAGCCTAAGGATTGAAGATTCAGTAAAATTAAAAAAAAATTTTTTTGTCGAAAATTTGTTCTTTTAAAAAAAAAGTATCTTGTAATTTTTTTTGTATTGTTAAAAACTACGGATAAGTTAAACAAATTTATTTTTTGACAAGTCTCGTATTATTTTTTTTTATTTTCAATATTTTAGCCAAAATTAGCATTTCGATGTTCTAATTAGCAAATTGTCTAACTTAACTTTAAAGAATCTTCCATTTGTACAAAAAAAAAAAAAATAGTTCAAAATTTTTTATCACTTAAAAAAAACCATTTAATATCATTGATACCTAATAGATGTATAATATTTTTTTTTTGATCATTTTAATAAGTTATAATTAGACTATTGTTAAAAAATCACCCTCTAAAAAATAAGGAGAGACCAATTGCTAATTAGACCGTCGATTTTAAACTTTTGAAAACTACAGATAAATTCTATAACTTCAATTTTCTACTTTTAACCTAAATTTTTGAAAAAGAATGAGATAGAACAAAATTAATAAAAAACTATTTTTTAGAAAATAAAATTATCTATAAGGTTTGGGGACATCCATTAATTACGTGAGCTTTGAATGGGGGGGGGGGGAGGGGTTCAATGAAATCTCACCAAATCTCATCTAAACCGAGGGGGGGATAATCAAAAATCTCACCTCAACTTCAAAAAATATAAAATATTACAGACATTAAAAAAAAAATTATTTTGAGTGTTTATTTTGCCCGCTAAAATAAATTTTATGTCTATTAAAATCATTTTACGCTGATGATTTAAACAAGCTCTCCTCAGGAGCTAATGGTGGATTTCTTTAACATTATAATTATAATATAAATTATAATATGTATGTATAAAAAAAGTACATGAGTCTCCATGGATTGAGTAAAAATTTTAAAAAAGTTTTGTTTTTATGTTTTTTAGTAGATTTCATAGAAATCTAACTATTGCATTGGTCCTCATGACAGAACTTTTAAAAAATTTTGCTATATTTCGACTATACTCGTCGAGCTGAGTCAGAAAATGCATATGGTTCAAAAGTTTATATATGTATGTATATTTATATATATATCGGATATAACGCGGCTTGTCACGACAATAGCGTCGCTAATTTACAACGGATCTCTACTAAACTCAACATACTTATTCTACAGATAAATACTAAAGTCAAGTTCGAAGATGAGCTTAATCGGTCAAGTAATTTAGAAATACCAGGATTTCAAAATTCTGAAAATCATAAAAATTCATATTTTTTCACTTTCTTATTCGAATAACTTTTGACTGGGATAACTTATTGAAATTCTGTAAAATGCATCTGAAAGCTCTTGAAATTAGCTTTAATTTGAGTACCATATCATATGTGTAGTCGTCAAATTTTTTAGAAATACCAGGATTTAAAAATTTTCAAAATCATAAAAATTCACATTTTTTCACTTTCTTACTCGAATAACTTTTGAATGGGATAACTTATTGAAATTCTGTAAAATGCATCTGAAAGCTCTTTAAATAAGCTTCAATTTGAGTACGATATCATATGTGTAGTCTCAAAATTATGTCCTATTCCGCTATGCCAATTATGAAATTTGCTATTGCACTGGTTTTAGTATTTTTCTGTCGATACATATTTTTGTCGATTGCATAGAATTTAGATCCCTAGTTTTGTACACAATCCTCGTTATATTTTTTTCTATTTATGATGAAATCTATTTTCATTTCGGCTGCCGAATGGTCTTTTTTGCTTTGAATTTTATTTAATTTAAATAAATTAACTATAGTATACTTGAATGGTTTATTATTCTCCCGAATAATAAAAATAATTTTAATTTAAAATATTTTTAGCGTCAATCTCACGTAAGGGGAGGGGGGGTCCAGACAAATCTCACCAAATCTCACCTAAGGGGGGGAGGAGTCTAAACTGATCGAAAAATAGCTCACGTAATTAATGGATGTCCCCTTTCATATTTTTTTTTTTATTTTCAATATTTTACCTAAAATTAGCATTTTGAACGTTTAAAAACTACGGATAAGACAAAATCTAATTTTAAATAATTTTAAATAATAATATTATTATTCCTGACAGTTGTGATGGTATTTTTCGTGTAAATATACACAAAAAATCACGATAAAAGGGCACAACGAGATTTTGAAGCGTATTTTGTCGGGGAGATTTCGTAGTACAACCGTTTTCATCAAGTTTATCTTATCTCATCCTTTCTGCAAATTTTAAATTTAAAGTCTAAAAATAAAGTTATAGATTTTATCCGTAGTTTTCAAAAGTTTAAAATGCTAATTTTGGCTTAAATATTGAAAATAAAAAAACATATTATATATGACTTTTCTTATAAAGAATTTTATTTCCTAGAAAAAAGTTCCTTTTCAGTTTTACCCTTTTTCTCGGTTGTAGAAAATATCTTTTGTAGAAAATAAAATTAATATTTGACCCAAAATTTTGAATTAAACTTAGAAAATTTAAAATTTAATAAAACAAACTAGTTGTTTATTTTCTAATTAATTTTTCTTATTATGGACCCTGATATCCAGCGTTTTTTCAGAAAGTAGTAGACTTCCGGCAGTTACGGTTAAATTAACGTCAAATCTACGGCCGCAACTTGAATACAAATTAACAATCAAACTTGTACTTAAATTTCCTTTCAACTTTACTACAATTTGACTGAAATACTTGCATAGCAACTTTTGACGTCTATTTACAGAGTAACTTATAGGTAATTAATAGGTAACCGCTTGCTTTGTCAATTCTTTCCGTCAAGTTTGCTTCAATTTGCGGTTGAAGATTGACAGCAAGTTTCAGATAAGTTTCTGATAAGGCTATCAGGGTTGACTGTTGATAACTTTTCAACTGACATTAAAAAATGTCAATGTCTATTTTATCAATAAATCACTTATCAACTGTCGATAAAAACTTCTTATCTGTCGATAAAGATAATGTAGATTCCTATGAGATAAATTTAAATGATTTTATCATTCAAAAAAAGCTTACTTTGAATTTATCATACTGTCCCCCGAGAATGCACAGCCTAAAAGGAAAAGGATTGATGAACTTTCCCTCAATATTTCTCGACGAAAGAGCTTCGGTTAGACCTTTATTCCTTTGGCTTTTCAGTTGCTCAATACTTGCGTCGTCCAGGTGGGCTTTGATGGCTGCCCAAGCTGCCCCCAGGCAGGTTTCTAATGACAACCAGACTGTATTTGTAGCCATCAGGTTCAGGATTATAATAAACGTTGTTGCTTGTGACAGCGAGCTGCCAACCAACGCTGCGTTTATAATTGATGGGGTGAGATGACCCACTTCCCAGATGTGTATCAGGTCTCTGGACTTATTCAATCGAACAATTAATTACCAATTAACGAACTTACCTCAGGATTGTATTTTATAAAATTTATCTAATTTAAACTTACTAAATTTTTATTAGCTTTGCGGCCGAAAGAGTAGTCAACAGCAATTGTCGGCTTAGCGGCTTCCTCTTTGTCCAGAAATTTATGAATCATTGTTGTTTTTCCCTTAAATTTATTAAAAATAATTAATAATAGACACACCCTCCATTAAAAAAAAAATTAAAAAAAAAATATATATCGAAATACATAAATAAATATATAAATTATTATTTTTAATAACTAACTTTTGGTCGATTTTCATATATATTTTATATATATTTCAAATATATTTTTTTATATTTTTAGCTTTGTATTTTTTATGTTTTTTAAGATATATTTTAAATATATCTAAAATATATTTAAAATATATATGAAAATCGGCCAAAAGTTAGTTATTAAAAATATATCCACTATTTTTTATAGATTTTTAATATATTTAAAATATACTTCGACATATATTTTTTTTATATTTTTTTTTTAATGGAGGACTTAATTAAAAATTCAACTTACGACTCCTTCATCGCCGATTACAATCACTGAATTTTCAGACATTGGTTAATAATTTTCACAAAATTTTAATAGATGTTAAATGAAGAAGCTTCTTTGGAGGGTAAAACAACAATAAAATGTTTGTAGTGTTTACAGTCTACAATGGTTGCTATAGCAACGGCTTGTTAGGGTATTAGTTTTCCAAGCGCTCGCTAGGGATTTAAATTTCTGAGAAATTTTAGCAAATATGAGTAATTTAATTCATTAAAAAATTTTTGTTGGGACAACATGAGACATGTTTTGGTAAGAAATGAATATGTTAGCATAGAGATAACAATTTATATGATATGATAACAAAGTCAAGGTTATAATGAGTTAATATAACAGGAAGTTCCAGGGATAGCCTTATTTAGAGTGAACCTTATCTAGGATTTTTAAATTGTTACAATAATAAACAAAATTGTAAATTGTAACTTTAATGACAATTTTAGAGAAAAGTTTCTCGGGATTTTACAACTATTTTTGCCAACAAAATCACTTTGTTACAGCAACAAAATTATTTTGTCACAAAATGACCAGAATAACAATAGCTAAATTATTTTCTTCTAACAAAATCGCACAGATTATTTTAGTCACGTAACACACTGGATTGTTACAACTTGTCTAATTCTATTAAAGGGACTAATAAATTTGTTATAAGTATACTTATTTATTACTAGAAAATATTTCCCAGTAATCCTCTCTTTTTATTTCAAAAAATTAACTTAATTCGATAGAATAATTCTTGAACCAAGAAAGTAATTTTGAAGAGGGTAATTGTCTTAAAATCAAGACAAAAAAATTTTTGAATCAAGTAAAATTTCTTTAATTCAAGAACAATTTTAAAGTAATTAATAAATTGTTTTAACTTTGAACTTTACTTTGATTAATTTATGTATAGCACGAGCATTTAAGTCATGTAAATAAAACTTTTTTCTTCCCAGCAGTCTGCAGACTGTTTTTTGAGCCATTTATCTGTCAGGTGCGATTTAATGTGACAAAGTGTTGGAATCTCAACTTTTAGGCGATAACAGAACATACTTTTGCGCTCAAGCTTAAAGCATGTAATAAAATATAATATAATTTATAAATTTATAAATGATAATGTATAGTCATAGTAATAATAATAATAATAGGAATAAGAAGGAATAATAATGATGCACTGATTGAGAATTCATTGATCGAAATGGCGAGATAGATAAGTTTGAATATTAAATTGACTAGACAAGGTCGATTGTGACATATAATAACACAATATATGATCGATATATTTTGTATACGAGGGTGTATTAGTATTATATCTGGAAACGTTAGTCACGGTATCGCGTGAGAAGGTAATGGACATCAGCTTCGACAATGTAACCAGAGATATATCAATGGATTTGTCGATTACTTTGCTTGATGACGCTTATTGTTCAATTGCATGCTTATTTTTGTTTTATTGACCGTCAGCTCTCGTTAATAGTTCATTCATCTATTTATTTTTAACAAAATTCCCGACTTTTATTTATAGCCCGGTTGAGCTTTGCAATCCTCCTGTCGAGCGTGGTCGTAATTTTCTTAAGTGACATCACGAATATTCCAATTACTGAAATGCCTATAAATTATAAGAAACTTTTTTATGATTCAATAAAAAATTATTTTTGCGAATTAATCATTTAGAAATTGCTGAAAAATATTTTTTTACTAAAAATTTTAAACAAAATTCGAGTAAAAATAAAAGGTTTGAATTTTTTAGGTAAATTTTGAAACTATTAAGCGTAAAAATTATAAAGATAGATATTTTCAAAGAAAATTGAATGATCTGCAATAAAAATTGAAAATTTTTGTCAAAATAAGGCTGTTTTTATGTAATTAGAGCTTGAAAATAATATTAATATAATTTTTTTTCTTTTGTGATTTTATTTTTGAACTTGAGAATTTTTTTTTCTAATAAACAAAGTAATTATTAGAAAAAATTAATAAATAATTTAAAAGGAAATTTAATGCTCTGTAAAAAAAGGTGTCTTAGGATTTTTTTTTATAAATTTCATTTTTCCAAAAATAAAATGAATTTTTGATTTTTTTGTTTTTAAATTAATTGATAAAATATTTTTGTATTTTGTTAGGAGCTTAAAAATAAAAAAAAAATATTAACTTGTCATTCTATTTATTTTTATTAAGTAAATAAAAATTTTCGTCGCTCAAAAAATCATTCAAAAAAACAATTTTGATCTTGAGTATTTCAAATTTTGTTGAAAAATTTCCAAACTTAAAAAAAAAAAATAAAACAATCAAAATTTTGAATTACTTTTCCTTAAGGGGATTTTCTGGTCTAGAAGCTTGAATTTAAGGTAATTTTTGAAGTGTAAAAAAAAGGTAATCAATATTTTTACTATTCATTTTATTAATATTTTATTAAATTTCTAGACCAGAATATCCTCTCAAAAAATTTTAACTATTTAAAACTTCAATTTTAGTCACTGATTTTTGAGAAAAAATGTCAATTTTTGTTCAAAAAAATTTGAACTCTTTCATTATTTCATTTTCGCCAAATTAAAAAAAAAATTCTATGCAATTTTTGATTTCAAAGCTTAAAAATTACCAGAAAAAATGTCTATCTATTTTTTTAGACAATATAAAAATAAAAATGACACTGAAGTTAGCAGACGTCTAAAAATTTTTGATTTTTTTTTTTTTTTTTTTTTTGATTAAATTACAACTAAAAGAATATTTATAAAAAAATTGCACTTGTAGTTTTTTCAAGTTTTTTAACATGTGATTTTATTTTTTTGTAACAATTTTTTAATAAATGTTCAATAAATTAAATTATTAAAACTACTATTTCTCCAAAAATAATTTCAATTTTTTTAAATCTTCCTAAAGACATATCAAAGGATTAAACTTTAAAAATATCAAAAAAATAATTTTTTTTCTAATTTCTAGCCCAAAATATTTTATTAAAAAATTTTTAATATTCAAAACTTCAATTTTAATATGACATTAAAGTTAGCAGTCGTTTAACAACTTTTTAATTTTATTTGTTCCAAAAAAATATTTCTAAAAAATAGCATTTTTAATTTTTTTAAATTTCTACATGTCAATTTTTTTTTGCCATAATTGTTATAAAATTTTAAAAATTATTTAATATATACTAAATGAATTTTCATAATTTTATGACATTAAAGTTAGCAGTCGCTTAACAACTTTTTAATTTTTATCAAAAAAATTTGTTTCAAAAAATTATTTCTAAAAAATAGCATTTTTTATTTTTTTAATTAAATTTCTAGATGTCAATTTTTTTTTCTAATTTTATTTGCCATAATTTGTTATAAAATTTTTAATATATGCTAAATGAATTTTCATAATTTTAATCCCTGAAAACTTCGCCAAAAAATTCTAATTCCAAAAAATCAAAATTTATTATGACCTAAATAAATCCCTTCTTTCAAATAAAAGGCAAAAGAACCCTATAAACAACAATTAACTCACCATATAAATTAATCCCTAAAAGAATTTCCTCCCCTACATCCAAATTTCCCCTGAAGCGGCTGAAGCCCTAAACCAAAAAAGTAACCCGATAAACGCGCCCTTAAATCACCCTCGTTGACCCGCGGCGCATCGCACTCCCCCCGGAAAAGAATATTATACGATATACTTGCACGTATCCCGCGTCTGCGCTCACAAAATGGTACCGTACATGCGCGTGACGTCACCGTTGACGTATCAAGATGGCGTTCGTCGCGAGTTTCGAGCGGAGTAATGAACAGTGCTCGAGTCCGAGCTTTCGCGTAAGCTCGTAGTTTAAAAAATAATTTTCAAATTGACTCTTAGCAATTAATAATTAATTCTTCTAATACCAATAAATTAATAAAAATTAACAACAATATTAATAGATATAGATAATTGAAAATTATCTATTAAAAAGTACAAGATTGTACTTAGTAAAATTATTTTAAGTGAAATGAACTCGCGTTATCCATCGAAGGTTGAATTATCGGAAATAAATTTATCCTGACTATCGGAATTATTTGCCGGCTTCGCAATATGTTGATAAGGACAAAAATACACCTGGCCTTAATTTCTGAACAAGTTTTCATCTTCAATAATAATTGCAATAATTGTAATAATAATTATTGTTCGGAAGAAAAAGAAGAAATGTTCGTTGAATATTTTTTAAAAAATTCAAAAAATATTTTATGAAAGTTAATCTTAAGGGACTCGAGGGTGGAAGTGTTAACCCGCGACATCGGTGCTTTGGTTTTTAAGGGTAGCACGCGAGGATGCTCGAGCTATTCGGCTCGAGTGTCCCACCCCTGGTGCGCGTGACCATTCCTGGCTTAATATTAATGTACAAGTCGGAATCTGGTGGAAAGTTTTACCCCGACTTTCCGCGCCAGTTACACGAGTTTTATTACTTTACGCGATTCGGTTATTTGTGAAGATATTTCTTCAATATTGACACAGTTTTATTGGTACTTTTGTCCAGTTTTTAATTATAGTATATAGTATGGTTTATTTTGTTTTTGTTTTTGATTAATTATGAGTTACCATGGCGGGTTTGTTGTCGAGAATTTGATATTGATTGAACAGACATAACCTCCTTT